TTTTTCCTGTCATGTCCTGCAATTGCAGAAAAATCCTATATGCTTTTCTTTGGAGAGATTTATAATCTACTCCTATATATATGCCTTTGACTAGCTACGAGTAGTACTCCATTTTTTTATCATTTTGTGGAATTTGACTAGCCGCAATTCGCTCCTAGCTCACGCTCTACCGGCCGGCTGCACACAAAGTAGTGGATGCATGCTTCCATGCGAAGCATTTTGATTCACTGCTTAGCTAGAACTCTCAAACAACGACAAGAGCCCCTGATCGTACCTAAACCAAACCACCGAATGAACAAAGAAAACACACTCATGTTTGCACAAGCTCGTGATGCATGCATTAACCCCTATGCCTTGTGTATTTCTTGACAGCCTTTCATTCCGGAGAGGCAGCTCAACTTGCCGTACGTCTATGGCGGCCGGTGAGAGGCGAGGTGAGGGTTCGGGGGCGAGTCGAGTGTGTTAGGGGGGGGGGGGGAGGGCAAGAGGTGGAAGAAGAGAGGAATGGAGCAGGTGATGTTATATCCGGCTGTGCTATCGTCGGTGGCGGACAACACAGAAAACATACATGTCACCCCTTTTTCTTTCGTCAAAGACGATGGCTACCTAGCTTCATTCTGTCTTCTCCTCCCCCCTCAACTAGTGCAGCTCCTGATGATGCGGAAGAACAGCAACAAAATTGTTGGTTGTATGCACAGCTAAGCTAGCGGCAGTTAGTTAAGCGGCAAAAAAGAGAAGAGACTGGCCATTCATTGACGATCGAAATTCGAAGGTGAAAAGCCGGCCAGCTCGCATGTCCACTATAATAAGCTGGTTGCTTCAGCTGTAATATGTCTCCGTTGTAACATGTATAAACCATATATTTGCTGTGTTGAAAACATTTCTATGTTTTTTTAATAAACTAGGAAGATAGCCCGCACATTCGCGCTGGCATGCGTATTAGTTTGTTTTGAAAATAGTTCTAAAAAAATAAATTGAAATTAAAGTAAGGCATTTTCTATTTTTAATTGAGTGTTCATTGTATCTTTTTTTTTTGAAGAAATATGGACAAACTATAATAAATGTATTTTTCCCACCCTGCTAACCTTTTCTTTAATTGCTTCATATATATGCAATTCGTTATGCATGTGAATCAACATAGAAAAGTTCTTTGAAAAATATTTAATGTATTTTGAATTTAGTGATCGAGTCTAATTTCGAATTTGTGTTCAAATCAAATTATTGTTTTATTCTAAATTGTCTTTTCAGGGATTTTAAATTGTACTTAATCTCGTACCGTGTTGTGTTTGGACTTTTTTTTATACTTATTTTATTATTCCCAATTTTATCTATTTATAACTCATACTTTTATACGAACCCTTGATATTTTATATTCTACATGGAATCTTGTTGTATTTTTTTATACTTTTAGTGACTTTTTTATTTTTTAATGTATATGTTAATCACATTGCTTGTTTTATTTTTTGTTATGAATTTACTTACGAACACCTTATAGTTGATCCGTTTGCCACCATCGATCTGATGGATCATCTTGTCGACCTCCTCATTAGTGAGCCTCTCCTCATGCATTGGACATGACATGACGGGGCTTGGCGTTAGAGGTGAAGCCATTTTCTACTCCTTGTTGAAGATGCGAAACATCTCCCTCTGCCCCTCCTATCAGTACTTGTCCTTTAGCACACTATTAGGCCCAGGAACTTGTGGAAGTCAATGCTATTGCTGCCGTCGGTGTCCATCGGGTTCAGAGTACGTATCATGGTTCCAAGCTCCTTGGTGGCCGGTGATTGAACCTGGACTTTAGACTGCACATATTTGAATTCATCCATCATTTTCAAAGTGCTATTTTGCTCAAATATTTGTAGTTAGAATGACCAAATTATCTAACTTTTATATAGTAAATATGGGCAATATGGATCTTGGATTATGTATTTAATTATACAATAACACAAGAAAGCAAATAGATTGAGAAAAGTACTTGTAACTTACTTGAGAGTGATGATCATTTAGCTATTGTTATTTTTATATATTTTGTGTTAGCTAGAAAATAGGAAAGTTAGCTAGAAAATAGGAGGAGAGTGGGATCCCAGAGGAGAGTAGGAGGGTGGAGGAGTACTTACATGCGTGGTCACATACGGTGGGGGTGAAGGTGGGGTTACCGGATTTATTTTTAAGATTAAAATTATTGGGTCCACCTATTTAAAGAAAATCAATGTTTAGATTTTTTTTATTTTTAATTAGAATTTGCATGATTTATTTTTAAATTTATTAAAGCGCCACATGACATCCTATAAGCGTTTGTAGAACGTCACGTAAGAGGCGTAGCTAGCTAGATGGCACTGTGGGCCATGGACCACCTAAAAATTTGATCAAGATTAAAACTATAGTATATGTGCTAGTTAATATAATAAATGTTGTATAGTGGACCACCCTTTTAACTGACCTATTACATATAGATGGACCATCTTTACTCTAAATCATATCTACGCCACCGATCACGTGACAGTTTGAGAACGTTTGTAGGGAGTTTAATATACTTTTAGTATATAATATAATATAATGTTCCCACAAAATTATATTTTTATGATTTAAAACATATTCAAAACTGAGTTTTTAATTGTATAACACATACGTAGGAAGACGTAGGGCACGCTCTCTTAAAAACCACATGATAACCCAAATGCCTAAAATTAATTAATTTATTTTCCAAAAGCTTCAAGAAATTTTCTTATATTGATACAACAGTGGGTAGAACTGCTCCATATATCGACAGAGGATTTTCTTGATCTGATTGTTTGCTTATAAAATAAATTAAAACTATAGTAATTATTTTGAACACACCGAACTGTTGATTTCTTGATAAAAAAATGATTGCTTACAAATAGAAAAGAGAATAGGAGGAGGGGCAGCAAAAGAGAAGAGAGGAAGGTGTGCGTACAGTGCGTCGCATGCACGGAAAGAGGCGAGGTGTGCTTGACCGTGAGTCTCAACAGATCTAATCTAACAATGGAAAGAGGTGGATTTGGTTGTTTTCTTCTTGACATAAATCAAATGGTGTAAAATAATGGGTCCAGCAATTTAAATGAAAATCAATGATTGAATGTTTTACTTTTTTTTTTAGAATTTCTATGATTTTTTCTATTTTATTAGAACGTCATGTGGCGACTGAGAGTGTTTGTAGGAAGTTTTATGGTCTTTTAGTATATAATAGATAGATAATAGATAGATAGATTTGTTCAGACAGTAAAAACACAAGCATGTGCCCGCACTGTTATAGTCGTGTATATATACTCCTATGTCAAAACGCGGCACATATATATCCTGGTGTTTCTTTATAAAAAAAAAAGACTGGCATACGATTGACGCTGGTAGTGAGCGGGCCCCGGTTATCGTGGATTGGCATAAAAGTGGTTGCTTGTTTTTGGACGTTTGGATGAAGCCGGCCTTAGTATATATACTAATAACATCCCAAGCTGAGCCAACCTAACGAACAAAACGAAATATGCTCATCAACACAACAACTCCACCGGCCACTGACTAGTGGGAGCACCTACTCATGCATGCTCCTGTCCTGTGTGTCCTCCACAGTCCACAGAGGGTACAAATCAAAAGGGTCAAAATTCAAAAAGTACGGTACAAAATCCAAAACTCCAGCCCAAGAGTGTGACCCACTGGGCTGGCCCACCGGCCCACTTACCCACAGCGGCGCCCCTGAACAACAAGTGGCGAGAGCATATGCATCTGTGGCTGCTAGATAAGATGGCATTGCATGGACAACTCCAGTTGCTGCTCGATCAGGATTCAGCTACCATTGTGCTTGTGCACCAGTATAATCTTTTGCATGTTGCTTAATGCAGGGGAAGAATATAATATATGTCCATGGCAGCTAAAGAAGCAACGACAGAACCAATCAAAACGCATCATTATTGAACGATTCAGCCTGGGGGGTGAGGGATTTTAATCCCTGAATCACGGGACACGAAATGGTCGACGCAGAGGGCATACTCGAGGAGCTCTATGATCATGAAGCCCTAACAGGAGCATATGTCAACCACAGCCGGAGAGCAGGATGATATATATATAGGCGGCTCATTTTAAACAACCTCCATCTTCAATACAAAGCACAAAATGGAACAAAAATGATCGAACAACGTTGAATGCGTTCCCGTACGTGGATGTCGTCAACAAAATCAATCTCATTTCAAGTTTCCCGGACGAACTTCATCGAACACTTGCTAGCACCAGGAGGAAGATATATATGGTCTTTGATCTTGCATTAACTAAGGAATATGTATGAGCTCCATGTGATGGTTGTTGTTGTAGAACAGACGTAGCACTAGAAAAGATTATGAGGAGCTGAGGACAAGGGTGATGCTACGTTCATACTACATGGTGCACAGGACGAAACAGGTTGAATTTGCAAAATATATACTCCCTCCGTATTTTAATGTACGATGCCGTTGACTTTTTAATCAACGTTTGACCATTCGTTTTATTCAAAAATTTTGTGCAAATATAAAAATATTTATGTCATGCTTAAAGAACATTTGATGATGAATCAAGTCACAATAAAATAAATAATAATTATATAATTTTTTTAAATAAGATGAATGGTCAAACATTGAATAAAAAGTCAACGACGTCATACATTAAAATATGGAGGTAGTACGACACAGGTTGAACTTGCAAAATATATACAATGTGTTATTCATGATTAATTGGTATGTTAGTTTGTTCGATATGCGTTCTAGCTAGTGAGATGACATGTATATAGGACACCTGATAATTTTCGTTCTGGATTCGTATTCGCCACTGGCGCATGCATGCAGGACCCGCGGCTGCGGTTTGCATTCGTTAATGTGACCAATGCTAAGTAGAAGTACATCCTACAGGGAGATCGAAGCGGTACGTACGTGCTTGGTGACCGCTGGACCGGCCTCAACGTGAAATGAGGATGTAGAAAATCCAAATTCAAACCCTCTCGGCAATTTGTAGAATATAAATTAAAGCAATAGAAATGATATTGTGATTTCAAGGAGAACACATATAGGAGCTTGAGATGATTATTACACAAGAGAGAGCATAAGAAGAATATTAGCTGCGAAGATTAAGAAAAAGAAAACACACGCGCGCACAAGCTACCTCTCCTTGTCAACTACTTCCACACAAAAAGATGCTCGCATGACAAGCCGGCGGCGTTGTTGATCATCGATCAGAAACACAGGGTGGCGAGGAGTCCCAAAGACGATCAGCGCACACACGGCCGGCGCGGCTGACGTGCGTCGCGTCCAAGCGCAGCAGCAGATGATCGTACAGCCTCAGCACCAGAAATTCCCTCCTTGTCTCGTCGCGGACGAAGTCGTCCGGCTTCTCCCTCATCACCTCCCTCGCCATTCCCTGTCCTTCCTGCAAGAAGCGGTCCAACTTCTGCACCTCCCACCCGTTCAGTTCCATGGTGGAGTAGTACGTGACAGTCGTAGCGCTGCCACTTCCCGGCTCCTCCTGCAGGTTGATTAACCAAACGCAACCATAAGTACATGTAACATCGACCAGCAATGTGCAAACACGCGACTTAGTGAGCAGCGAAATCACGCGTGTTTTAATTATGACCAACTGATTTGCTGGTGCATGCATGCATTGCATACAGAAGGATGGAGTATAGCTATGGAACCATTGAGATTCGCTCCGATCCAGCAAAAAGTAACTCGAGGTACCGGTACCGCACGATACTAAATCGTTTCCGATTGTTAAATCTAGCTGGATATGATGGACATTATTAAATCCAACGATCAAAAACGATTTGGCACCATAAAGTACGGTACCTCGAGATATTTTTTTGTTGGATCCGTGCAAATCCCATGCTAACTAGTGAGCAAGAGATATGTTTAAAAAAAAAACACTAGTGAGCAAGAGGTACAGGTACACCTGGGTGGGAACGTACAGATACTGATCGTGAGTTGAGTACTTACCAAGGAGAAGGGCAACCCGGCCGAGAGGTCGGACAAGGACAAGGCCAGCAGCTTCCCTGCTGCTGCACGGAAAGAACGAGCTAGTTGTTCGGACAAGGATTTCACGGCCATGGCGCCCAAACTAATGATCCTACAACTCTCTGGTCTGCGCTTGGCAATGGCGCTCGCTTGCTCACTGTGTGGCACGGCACGGGGAAGTACATGCATTTGGGGGGCGAGAAGGGAGGATATTTAATTTATAATCGCTTGCTCTGCTTCTGTCTTCAACCGCTCCACTCCCTCCAACAACGCAGCGTGTAGGCTTTTTTATTCCTGTCCTGTCTTGCAAATGCAGAAAAAAGAAATCCTAGTATAGTATATATGCTTTCTGTGGATGGATTTGTAATCTATTCCTATATACGTTTGACTAGCTACGAGTAGTATTTCTTATCATTTCTGGAAATTTGACTAGCAACCGCCACGCAATTCGCTCTACCGGCTGCACAAAGTTGTGGATCGATGCTTTCCTTCCATGCGAAGCAATTTGATTCACTACGCAGCAGCAGCTAGAACTCTAAATCAATTACAAGAGCCTGATCTCGTACCAAAATCAAGCCACCGAACGAACAAAGAAAAACAATCTGGTTAATTTGTCGAAGCTAATTAACTCCTGATGCAAGATGCATTTACCCCTGTGCCTTGTGTTCTTGAGAGAGCCTTTCGTTTCCGGATAGAGGCAGCTACAGCTATCTACGCTGGCCGCGCTCAACTTGCCGTCTATGGCGGCCGGGGCCGGCGGCCTACTTCACCGGACCTGACCGTACATGGCGCCGGTGAGAGCCTGAGACTGAGTGGCGAGGTGAGGATTCGGCGGCGAGTCGAGTGTATTAGGTGGGGGCATGCAAGAGGTGGAAGCTAGAGGAATGGAGCAGGTGATGATATATCCGGCCGTGCCATCGTCGGTGGCGGACAACACAGAAACATACATGTCACCCCTTTTTTCTATTGTCAAAGACGATGACTACTTCATTCTGTCCTCTCCTCACCAAACCTCCGGATGATGCACAAGAACAGCGACAAAAATTGTTGGTAGAGTATGCACAGCTAAGCTAGCGGCAGTTAAGCGGCAAAATTGAAAGAGAAGAGACTGGCCATTCATTGACGATCGAATTAAGGTGAAAAGCCAAGCTGGTTGCATGTCAACTAATTAATAAACTGGTTCTTTAGCTGTAATATGTTCCGTTGTAATAACATGTGTAAACCATATTTGTTTTGTGTTCAAAACGTTCGCTTATAAAGTTGTTCAAAGTTTGAGAAGTCTAACTTAAGAAAAAAAAATTCTAAACATCTTATATATACACACCAACGGGTGGCTATACACCCCGTTGGTGTAGAAGCCGGGTTTTATAAATTTCCGTTATCTAAAAAAATTTTCCAAACATCTTATGTAAATGATTATAGATTGATACACGGAGCAATTCTATCTGTGGACATTATATATATTTGAAGCTGATGCGGAAGTTGAAAAGAAGTTAGGCCGTGTTTAGATTCAAATTTTTTTCTTCAAACTTCTAATTTTTCTGTCACATCAAATGTTTGGACACATGCATGAAGCATTAAATGTGGACCGAAAAAACCAATTGCACAGTTTACATGTAAATTGCGAGATGAATCTTTTGAGCCTAATTACGCCATTTGATAATGTGATGCTACAGTAAACATTTGCTAATGACGGATTAATTAGGCTAGCTTAATAAATTCGTCTCGCAGTTTACCGGCAAAATCTGAAATTTGTTTGGTTACTAGTCTTTGTTTAATACTTCAAATGTGTGTCCGTATACTTAAAAAAAATTGACACACTAACTAAACACAGCCTTAGACGCATGGATTGCGATCTTGTGGGATGTCCTCTTGTTAAGGAAAAATATGGTGAATATATAATTTCCCGATCCGGTTCAGGTCAGTACTGCCTAGTGTGTAGCGATTTAATTACTAGGACAACTAGTCAGCAAAAGTAATAACTTAAACGCTGTTATCTAGCAAAAGTAATAACAGCAAATCTTGTAGCGATCGATTTTCATTAGAAAAAAATAAGGTTTTGCGTCGGCTACCGAGCTTAGGGTCAAATCATTTGTCCTATGACTTACAAATCGCTGCTAAAATTTGTTTTTTAAAACTTGATTTTTGATTTTATTTTTTTTCAGCATAGTTTCTTTTTGAAGCATTTGTTTCAAAGTAGCTAACATATGTAATGGTTTTACCCATAATTCGCTTTATATCTCTAATTAATCGTTATGGCTTATAATCAGTATTATGGGAACCTTGACCTTTTATTCTGGCTAACATCACTACTATCAGGTTCTTTTTTACCTGAATCACCATCAGGTTTTGATGCACCGAGGAGGCATTGACAATATATACGACGTTCAGTACACACCACTTTTCACGTGTTCACTGCACCTGGACGGAATTTAACAATGCAGCCAAACTTGAGTAGTGATAGCTCCAATCCGTAGCTAGAATGATAGGAAAAGATAACAAATCGATCAACACAGATCAAGTGGCTTGATGCACGCACGCACGCACGTGTACTTGTGGTTATAGGTGGTGAAATGGCGACCCGGCACAGACCCAGGCACGACCAACGCATGGCCTAAGAGCAATTGGGCCGGTACAGCCTGACCAGCAAGCCGTGCCTTGCTATGCCCATCCACGGTACAATAATACTCGGGCTGTTCTGTGTCGGTCCAAAGGCACAACCAGCCCACCATCGCCGTCTTTGGAATAAGTTTATTTTGCCTCGCGCATCTCTTTGGGCTGTGCTTATATGGCTAAAATAAGTTTATTTGGCCTCCCTCATCTCTTCATCTCTTTAGGATGTGCCTCGTGGCTGGAATAAGTCTATTTTGCCTCGCGCATCTCTTTGGGTTGTGCTTATATGGCTAAAATAAGTCTATTTGGCAACACTGCAGCCTCTCGTTGACAAGGCCTCCCGCGGCTTTCCCCCGGAAGGATTGGCTCACCACTTTAGCCGATAGATCTGTGCTGGTCCAATCCGTGCTCTCTTTTATTCCGGTTCATGTGTCACGGCAATCGGGCTGCCGGGCTAGGTCATCAAGGCCATCGATAAGAAACGCCGCACTTTCCTATGGATGGGCACGGACAAGGTCCAGGGGCCGGGGAGGGGTGCCTTGTTTCTTGGACGAATGTTTGCCACCGCAGGGCTATTGGCGGTCTAGGTATTGCTGACCTAAGGATGGTGGGCTTTGCTCATCTCCTTCGCTGGCTCTGTCTTCAGTGATCAGGTCACCCCTACTTGGCCGATCTGAAGGCTTCCTTCAAGTGATGCATCTGCGACATGTTTGCGGCGTCCACCGTTTTCGTGCTAGGCGATGGCTCATCGACTCTCTTCTAGATGGATCAGTGGATTGAGGGTCGCTCGATAGCCTCCTTAGTGCCAGAACTTCTCCTTATCGTGCCCCCGCATTTGCTTTGGCCCTCGTTGATAACTCTTGGGGGGGACATCCATGGCGCTCTCGCTGTCCCTGTCCTCTCACAATTCCTGGTGGTATGGGATGCGGTGCTTTCCGTCCAACTCTTGGGCATGGGGGACCGGCTTGTCTGGCGTTGGATAAGCAACCAGCGTTACTCGGCTCAATCGGCCTACCAGGCTTTCTTTCTTGGGTAGCATTATTTGCTTGCACGGATCTGCTTTGGTGGGCTAAAGGGTCAGCTAAATGCAAGCTCTTCCTTAAGCTTGCGTTCCAGCGGCGTTGATGGATGATTGATCTCCTAGATAAGCGTGGCATTGAAAGCCACTCGTCCTATCCGTTTTGCGCCTAGGATTTTGAAACGGCGAATCACATCATCCCCAACTGTGCGTTTGCTTGCCGGGTCTGGCACCGAATTCTATCTCCACCTAGCTAGCCTACTCTCACTCTGGCCCATGTCCCCTCTATCTAGATTTGGTGGCTGACTTTTAGGGTCAGCCTGCCTGAGCACTGTCATGAGGGTTTCGATTCCTTAGTCCTCCACGTCACTTGGTAGTTATGAAAGGATCGGAACTCCAGGGTGTTCGATTCTTCTCTTTCGTTTGTCTCAACGTTTCTAGAGTCCATTCCTTAGGAAGACCGTCTGTGGTCTACTGCGGGCGCTGTATCTTTTGGGGACCTATTAGGAGTGCAGTGGGGTACCGCCTCCACCTTCCCTCGTATAGGAGTAGAGCCCAGTTTTAGCTTAGAGTCTTCAGTTTTCTTCTCCCTTTCTTTTTCAGTTTTTCTATTTTCTCCTCACCCCTCGGTATTGGCCCTCTAGCTGATTGCAGTGTGTAATTGAACTTTCTGCACATTATAGATTGACGACCCTGCAATAATCTTGCCAAATATGTCCCTTAGGAAACATTAGACCACTGTTTCCGCAATAAACGTTTCCTGCTAGACCAAACCATGCAAGATGCAGCGGATTACTGGCTGCATGAAGGCTAGGACCCAGTCTTGGAGCTTAAGACTCTCACAAGCTAGCTAGTTTGTAGCTAACTTCTAAAAATCTGGAGAAACCAAGAAATACAACTTCTTAATTTTAGTTCATTTTCTAAATTTTGTAGCTACAGTACAGTTCTCAGAATCTGAATTAGAATCTCAATTGTTTTGGGAGATAGAGTTAGGGTGTATTCGGCAGTGGAGGTTGGGAATCCATTCCTCCTGCACGCAAAACGGTGCGGCCTTTTAACATGTTATTAATTAAGTATTATTTTTTTAAAAAAAGTTGGATCAATATGATTTTCTAAAGCAACTTTTGTATATAATTTTTTTTAAAAAGACATACCGTTTAGCAGTTTGAAAAGCGTACGCGTGGAAAACGAGAGAGATGGGTTGGGAAGAGAGAGTGCCAAACTTTAGTGGTTTTGAGAGAAGCTAATGTTGAGGACTCTTTCCCTACTCTTCTTGCGAGTGCGACGATGGGTGCCGTGACAAACTCTAATCAGCAGTCGTAAGTCTCAGAAATAAATGAAAAGGTCAATGCAATCAAATTGAATAGTTTGGTGTGACAATTCTTACAATATGTCATGCGCTTTGCTGCGGGATATATGTTAAATATTAAAGAAATGATGAAATGATTTGGATTGAAATATTATGAGAATAATTTGAGAATAATGATTTAGCATATGTATGTTTAGTTTTAGAATGAAATAAATTGTAGATTATATGCTTGCATGTTGAGCTTTGTATGCTTAATTGGTTTATGAGTCATGTTTGCTTGTAGGTTTTAGGGGTGTTAATAAATATACTCCCTCCGTATTTTAATGTATGACGCTGTTGACTTCTCAACCAATGTTTGACCATTTATTTTATTTAAATTTTTTGTGCAAATATGAAAATATTTATGTCATGTTTAAAGAAAATTTGATGACGAATCAAGTCATAATAAAATAAATGATAATTACATAAATTTTTTGAATAAGACGAATGGTCAAACGTTAGATAAAAAGTCAACGGCGTCATATATTAAAATATGGAGGTAGTACTAAGTTTGCATGTTGAGCTTTAGTTGTTTAGTAGGCATTAGCTTTATAGAAAGAAGAGATAACATAGACAGTAGAAAAAAAAAAGAAGTAGCAATACAACACGACAATTTTTTGGATGAAAAACTTTCAAACGTAACTGTTATGTAATTATAGTGTAGTTACATTATAACTACTATGTAATTGCTATATAGTATTTGATATGTACCTCAAATGTAACTCTTATAAAAGTGCAACGGAGCAACTGATTAATGGAAGAAGTATGTACAATGCAGGTCTTGGTTTCGATCCCTATGGCGCCCTTGCAAATTTTTTTCATCTTCCTCCACCAGCATGAATCTCATAGCATAACAGACGGTCTAAAATTTGAAAGTTTTCATCCAGCGCAAATCTTGGAGCCAGATCGAATCGAAAGTTT